ATATATATATATATATATATTATATATATATATATATATATATATATATATATATATATATATATATATATATATATATATATATATATATATATATATATATATATATATATATATATATATATATATATATATATATATATATATATATATATATATATATATATATATATATATATATATATATATATATATATATATATATATATATATATATATATATATATATATATATATATATATATATATATATATATATATATATATTATATAATATATATATATATATATATATATATATATATATATATATATATATATATATATATATACATATATATATATATATATATATATATATATATATATATATATATATATATATATATATATATATATATATATATATATATATATATATATATATATATATATATATATATATATATATATATATATATATATATATATATATATATATATATATATATATATATATATATATATATATATATATATATATATACATATATATATATATATATATATATACATATATATATATATACATATATATATATATATATATATATATATATATATATATATATACATATATATATATATATATATATATATATATATATATATATATATATATATATATATATATATTCTCACGTATTGATTCACGGATGGAAAAATATGACACTATATTCCGGGATATCATCCGTTCGCTCGTTGAACTCCGACTGGAATCCTGCATCCGACTGGAATCCTGCAAATCTTGCATCCGACTGGAATCCTGCAGACGTTTCGCCAAAATCTCACTTGACATCTTCAATGCTCGCGCTCCGAAAACACTTCGAACACAGTATATATATATATATATATATATATATATATATATATATATATATATATATATATATATATATATGACACAAGCAATTTCCTTTAATTAGTATTAGTTAACACGCTTATTAACAAGTTACCTTTTGAAGTACACATTCCGGGTTACCGAGGTATCTCCAATAAACATTGTAGTCATGCGGGTGGTGCAGCAGAAACTCAAGCTCCCCATCGATAATTTAGATTTGCTTTGCGGAGGTGGTTTCTTTAACAAAAGCAAACACGGTCAACTGCGACCCAATTCATCTAGGGCGGTGTTTTGCGGACCTAGCGG